GACACAGAAACGGGCATGGAGACAGGTGCGGAGGCAGGCACAGAGACAGGTGCAGAGGCAAGGATGGAAGTACACAAGGTACCTATAGGGTCAGTAATCTGGAAGGAGACAGACATAGAAACAGGCACAGAGACAGGTACGGAGGCAGGCACAGAGATAGGCGTAGAGGCGGGTATGGAAGTACACGAGGTACCCATAGGGTCAATGACCTGGAGCAGTTGCAGGTTAGGGTAATTACGCACGAGATCACAGATGGCAGTAATAGTTTGCACCATAGCACCGCCATTCCATAATTCCCAAGAACCAGAGGCACGGACAAGAGCGGTGTAGTGGCCAGGAGTATATAGAATATAGGCACAAACGTGCGAACAGTGGTCCGGGTATATATATCGTCACAAATAGAACTGCCCGGTAAACCGTAGGCAGAGAGAGAGAAGAGGACAACAAACGAGGGGTTGTGACAAACTGTTTCGTCGGAGTTTCACCGACTCATCAAGAGGCTAAACCCTCAACAGTCTGCAGAATCCCCTCACTAATTACACTGCAAATGATAATCTACCTTAACCAAAATCAAAGTAGACTATCACTCACCCATAAATATATAGTCAAACGGAGCTCCTCGGTAAACCGTAGGCGGAGAGGGAGGGAGGGGGAAGAGGACAACAAACAAGGGGCTGTGGCAAACTGTTTCCTTCGAGTTTCACCAACTCATCAGGAGGCTGATATATTAATTGCCGGTGGGGTTTCTTCACGCTCTCCGAGAAGCGCCCAAATCCGGGCTCTTTTCCTTTTTTGAGAGTTGGCTCTCAAGGGGGGGGGGGGGGGGGGGGGGTATAAATGAATTTTAAAGGGGCTAAAGGGGTTTAAAGGGGGGTGACTTAGTATGATTTGTTTTTTTTTTTTTGTTTTTTTTTTTTCAGTTCCGTGAGGAATTCTGATGTGACCCTCAATTAAAAGTTGTTTGTATTGCAATTCTACACAACATTTTTTTCCCAGATTTTTTTGGAGGTTTTCTTTTTTCGTTTTTTTTTGCGCTGAGGCTGCCGAGGCCCATGCCCGGTCGGTCACCCGGTCGCCAAACCGGGCGTGACATCGGGACCCGGGCCTCCGGGATATCTCCCTAGG